GTTTAATTCAGAACCAGAGGAGGATGACTTCAATGGGTTTGATTAATACTTTGTAATAAATACATGAATAAAGCACAATCATACTCAGTTTTGCTCCCGCTCTATTTTTAAATACGCAGTAGAGGTATTTAAATGTAGTAGAGGACATGTACCTGTATATAAAACCCCCGCCCTATAGTCCGGTGCGCCTAATGTGTGTGATAAATACAGTAATGGCACACATAACTGAGACTGCGCCTTTTAGTATGGTGCGCCCTATGGTCGTGAAGATACGGTAGATAAACAGGTCCTTATTGTGTTTAAGATCGTCATGTCCTGTCTCTGGTGTGAACGGAAAACAGTTGTCTGAAATGTTTATCTGAACGTATATTTATGTCTTTTGATGAAGTGTTTCTCTTCAATGTTTATGTGTGTGTATGCTGTGGATTCTTTTTAAATGTAGGGGTGTGTTTCTGAATGTTTCAGAATCACACAGGGAGCTGTCTTTAGCTGTTCTGTGTTGTTCTCCTCTGCAGAGCAGAATAAAACTTTTTACTTCCTTGCAAATCATCTCCCGGTGCTCATTTTTACTCCACACTGCTTTGCTGCTTTCCCAGATATTTCTGCAGATTGATGTTAAAGAAACGATACAATTAACTGACTTTTTGCCTGAAGCCGCTTTTATCAGAGGCAGCCATCAGCGGCTGCTCAGGTTTTTCCACCTTTAGTAGGGTTTCAAGGCAGCGGATGATCAGACCTTCATGTGACCAAAGATGAATAAAAGCCAAGAAATATGCTGCAGGTGATGAAGGAAAATCCACCAAAGCAAACAGCAAACATTATTCCTAGCTCTGGAATCATCCAGCACTCACCGCTGACTTGAAGGCAGATGGTACTTTGGTTATTGGAGCAGGATTTATCAGCCCAGTATCCATCAAAGTTCATCGCTCCACAGTACTCTTGACCTCCATAGTTGTCAGGTTCTCCAGCTGCCCAGCTCCTGAACTCGCTCTCCTGATGCTGGTAGAAGTCTGAGTCAGACATGGACCACCGCCAGGTGTTCACATCATGGTGCAACCCGATCCAGGCTTCCTGAAACCTCTATCAATGTTACGACAAAATGGGGGAGATTTGATTAAAGTTTTTATTACAGGGAGTTTATATTTGCTCTTTATCTCCACAGCCAAAGCAGGACTTCTGGACATCACTGCAAACTAAAAACTAACAATAAACAGGAGAACATTCATTCAGTAGGAAAAGTTTGGGGACTTTTTGTTCCATCATGGCTCCACAGAGACATGGTCGACCTTCAGGAGTTTATCTTCTCTCTCATTATTACGATCAGGGAGAAATGCAGATACCTACTATGTTTTTTCCCATAGATGCTGCCATGTCATTCAGAGTTCTCATGTCCTCCATGTCCTCTATGGTTGCCAGGTCTCTGTACTTCTGTCTGCAGTAACTCCGAGCTTCAGTCCAGTCCTTCAGCTCATCGATGATCATGTATTTATGGTCAGAGGGCTGGCAGTTTGCACTCAGGCCTGCAGTGAATAACGTACATACTGAAAATAAATAAACCAATGATTAAAAGCTGATAACTAGAAGCATAACTTACTAAAGGCAACAATGATGAGCAGAAGAACTTTCTCCATCTTTCCTGCTGCCTCAGTCTGCAGATCTGCTGTTTCACATGCTGATTAAGGCTGATGCCATGGAAATGACATGGAAATAATTTGTTGGGTGTATAGTGTACAGTGTATATTCTCAAGAACTAATCCAAAAATAACTAATCCAAAAATAACTGGAAAAAACTGTTTCAGAGAAACAGCAAAGTGGGAATGCTTTTTTCTGCTGAATGAAAACAGAAAAATTAGCTAAAGAAACTGCATTAATGAAAAGAAGCAGAGATTAGCTGAAGAACATATGAAAATATGATAGGACGTAATCAGAAACTTCAAACAGCAGAAAACAGTAGAATCATCTAAAGATTTTGTAGGGTAGAATCATTTGGCAGAATAGTGACAGAAACATACTCATCTTAAAAGCAAAACATTTAGTTAAAGTTGATTAACCAGAAGAAAAAGTCAAAAAGTATCTGTTTACCTGGAAGTTGACAGAAGTAAAGCATCTACTGACAAGGTTAGCAGATGGTTTATTACAGTGAAAATGTTAAAGCTTCATTAAGAAATGTGCACTTAGGTGTGTTGTCAACAGGCCTTGGTAGTGTAATTTGAAGAAATTGGTTGAGTTTGGGTCATAGCTACGAACCATACGGCACAATGAATGAGTGTGCATAAGGAAGAAGCTTTTATTTTGTAGAGTCCATCCATCTTCTTCGACTTACCGGTCAGTTCGCGGGGTAGCAGCTTCAGTAGGGAGGCCCAGTGAGAGCTGTAGATCGCGCCCTGATCAAGCCGACAGAACCACATCATCTGCGAACAACAGAGATGCAATCCTAAGGCCACCAAGACAGATCTCCTCAACACCTTGGCTGCGCCTAGAAATTCTGTCCATAAAAGTTATGAACAGAATCGGTGACAAAGGGCAAACTTGGCGGAGTCCAACCCTCACCAGGCTCTGACACCGGTCATACAGAGACCTAACAGCTACTATTAAAGGGCCTGGTACTCCATACTCCCGGAATACCCCCCACAGGGCCCCCCGAGGGACACAGTCGAATGCCTTCTCCAGATCCACACAACATATGTAGACTGGTTGGGCAAACTCCCATGCAACCTCCCAAATTCTGCTTAGGGTATAGAGATAATCCAGTGTTCCACGGCCAGGACGAAAACCACACTGCTCCTCCTTAATCAGAGATTCGACTATCCAACCGACCCTCCTTTCCAGAACCCCGGAACCGACCTTATAAGGGAGGCTTAAGAGTGGGTTTCCTCTATAGTTGGAACACACCCTCCAGTCCCCTTTTTTAGATAGAGGGACCACCACCCCGGTCTGCCAGTCCAGGGGAACTGCCCCCGATGTCCACGCAATGTTGCAGAGCCGCATTAACCAACACAGCCCCACAACATCCAGAGCCTTAAGGTACTCAGGGCGAATCTCATCCACCCCTGGAGTCTTGCCACCAAGGAGCTTTTTAATCACCTCTGTGACATCAGCAACAGAGATTGGAGGACCCAAGTCGGAGCCCTCAGGCTCTGCTTACTCAATGGAAGACAAATTGGTGGGATTAAGAAGGTCTTCGAAGTACTCCGCCCACCGACATACGAGTCGACGTCAGCAGCACACCACCCCGACCATAACTAGTGTTGGTACTGCACTGCTTCCTCCTCCTGAGACGCCGGATCGTGGACCAGAATTGCTTCAAAGCTATACGGAAGTCTTTCTCCATGGCCTCTCCAAACTCTTCCTGCGTCCGAGTTTTTGCCTCAGGAACAAGACGAGCCACCTGCCGCTTTGACTGCCGGTACATATCAGCTGCTTCTGGAGTCCCACAGGTCAATAAAGCCTGATAGGACTCCTTCTTCTGCTTGAAAGCTTCCCTCACTGCTGGTGCCACAGCTCCAACTAGCCGCCTCAACAATAGAAGCACGGAACATGGTCCACTCAGACCCAAAGTCCCCCACCTCCCTTGGAACATGTTCAAAGCTCTGCCGGAGATGGGAGTTAAAGCTCCTTCTCACGGGGGACTCTGTCAGACGTTCCCAGCAAACCCTCACAATATGTTTGGGCCTACCAGGTCTGACCGGCGTCCTCCCCCACCATCAGAGCCAACTCACCACCAGGTAGTGGTCGGTGGAGAAGGCCGCCCGTCTCTTCACCCGAGAGTCCAAGACTTGCGGCCGCAGGTCAGATGAAACAAAAACAAAGTCAACTGTGGCCTAGAGTGTCCATATGGAAACCCTTATGCTTGAACATGGTGTTCGTTATGGACAATCCATGACGAGCATAGAAGTCCAACAACAGAACACCACTCAAATCAGGTCAGGTGGGCCATTCCTTCCAACCATGCCTCGCCAGGTCTCACTATCATTGCCCACGTGAGCGTTGAAGTCCCCCAGAGGAACAAGGGAGTCCCTAGGATGGGCACGCTAAAGTACCCCCTCTACAGACAATCTGAACTGCTGTGTGGCGCAGAAGCACAAAAAACAGTCAGTACCCGTTCCCCAACACATATGCGGAGGGTTGCAACCCTCTCATTCACCGGGGTGAACCCCAACTTACAGGCACCAAGATGAGGGGCAACAAGTATGCCCACTCCTACTCGGCCCCTCTCAACAGGGGCAACTCCAGAGTGGAAGAATGCCCAGCCCATCTCAAGGAGACTGGTTCCAGAGCCAGAGCCATGCGCCTTCAACCTCAGGCACTAACTCAGGCTCTTTCCAGACCAGAGAGGTGACATTCCATGTCCCAAGAGCCAGCTTCTTCAGCAGAGGGTCAGAACACCAGGGTCCCCGCCCTCGACTGCCACCAATCACACAATGCACCCAACCTCTTTGGCCTCTCCTACAGGTGATGAGCCCATTGGAAGGGAGACCCATGTTTCCTCTTCGGGCTGTGCCTAGCCGGGCTCCTTGGGTAAAAGCCCGGCCACCAGGCGCATGCCAGCGTGCCCCACCTCCAGGCCTGACTCCAGAGTAGGGGGTCTGGTGATCCGCATCCGGGCAAGGAAACACTATGTCCATTTCTTGTATTCATCATAAGGGGTGTTTGGGCTGCTCTTTGTCTGGCCCCTCACCTCGGACCTGTCTGCCTTGGGTGACCCTACTAGGGGGCATAAAGCCCCCAGACAGCATAGCTCCTAAGGTCATTGGGACAGTCAAACCCCTCCACCACCATAAGGTGGCAGCCCAGGGAGAGGGCTTTGAAGAACCTCTGTTTGAAAACAATTTCATCTCATCACAGCTGTTGTCATCTGCTACTTTAAGATCTAAAATGACAGAAGCCAGATGTGTGAAGCTGAATTATCTGATGAAGTTATCTGTGTACAACCTAACTGAGCTTCTTGATGTGCAATCCAACAGACTTGTGTTAAGGATGAGGGAGGAAACCTGTGCTTCTCTGCCAGACCATGTCAGAGCATTTGCTGCTGATAATACTCATTTGAACCAATGGGATGACGAGTATGAATATGCATTTCCCTCAATTAGTGTCTCTCCTGCAGTGGATCAATGGCGTGATGAGCCAGAAAAGCCGTTGTCCTTCCAAGTTTCACCACTAGGTCATTTTAAGGGCTTGGGGAAGAAGGCCTTGTACATTATTTGTGCAAAGGTTCTGAATTTACATTCTCTGGCAGAGGTAAAGGTGTCGAAGTGGACTGAGGTTTTTGGCACCAGCTCTAACTCAAGAGGATGTTGGCGGTCCCTGTACAAACCCCCGGTTGAAAAACGGGTGGGTGACCTCCAGTGGAGGATTGTACATCGGGGAAATAGCTGCAAACAAGTGTCTGGCTCACCTTAATCCTGGAGCCAGTGTTAACTGCCCTTTTTGTTCACAGGAGGAAACATTGCATCATATTTTTGTTGAATATTTAAGATTGAATCCTCTTTTTGTTCTATGGTTTGTTTAGGGTTTTGGTGTTCAGTCCTCTAGCTGTATTTTTATTTATGGTCAACGGTATCTGTTCATGTGCTTTTAAATGTCATTTCTGGAATGGCAAAACTAGCAATATGGATCAAGAAAGAACAAAATTAATGTTCATCAAACGGAAGATGCTTGTGTGTTATTTAAGAGACTGGTAATTGCTTGTGTTACAGTAGAATTTGAGTTTTGAAGTTGACAAAGACCATAGATGTTTTGTAAGGAAATGGGGCGTTGGTGTTGGATGGATAAAGAATCTTTAGTTTTTGCTTTTTGATGTTTTTATTTGCAATTTTTATTAACTTTTTTTTATTTTATTGATTGCTGTATTCTGTGATAATATTTATGGCAATAGTCCTGCTGGTCTGCTTGTGAAACCAAAACTGCTGGGCTTTCAGTTTAAATCTTACTTTGCATATTATTCAGGCTTTTAATGGAAATAATTTACCACATTTAAATATTAAGAGGAACAAACTATGTTTCATGACAGCTCCACGCACGTCACTTCATTGGAATGGGATTAAACTAATTTCAGAACCATCAAATCTTTGTGTTGTTTTTGATCAGGACCTGTCATTTGAATCCCATATCAAAGAGGTTTCTAGAATTTCCTTCTTTCATCTGAGGAATATTGCAAAAATGAGAAATCTCCTGTCCAGGGGTGATGCTGAGAAACTAGTCCATGCATTTGTTACTTCAAGGCTGGACTATGTAATGCAAGAAGTCCACAAGCTGTAGTTAAAAGCCTTCAGCTGATCCAAAGCCAGAGTTCTGATGAAAACAAAACAAAAAAAGAAATAGATGAT